TAACCGTTTGCGAGCATAGAAGTGACTTTTTTTTATTGAAGACGACTCAACCCTATGCTATCCTCTGCTTTATATCCCTACTACTCCTTCCGTCCTGACTTCTCTGGCTTCTTAGACTTCCGAAAATCAACCTCTTCTAATTTTTCGTATCTGCTAGGTACTGGTAATTTACCTATCAAAATTTGTTAATTAGATTTAGAAACCTATCAGGAAATAATTTAGAAAAGACTGCCCTAGACAACCCCCAAGATTAATTAATCGTATAGCTATATAATATTGTTTTCAAAAACTATAAATTTTTAACCTTCAGTTGTTTGCAGTCTTGGGTTAGTTTTACATAATAAGTCCTGAAATTATTCTTGGTGGGGTAAGTATGAAGTGGCTTTGTATTATTCTTTTACTCCAATGCCAATGTGGTTGCTTACATGAGGTTTAATGGATAATAACATTCAAACAATTCAACTAAAATAAACGAAAAGTTTCGCTGATTTTCAGCCCAACTCGATAAAAAAGTATCGACAAAAAATTATTGATAGATATGATAATATCTCCTTTCATCGATTTTGTTTTTATTAACATGTTCTGGCAAGAAAATTGGGTAGTGGTTAATGACAACATTTTTTGTTGATTTATTAGGGAAACATATCGAGTGAAAACGGAAATTAAATGTACAATAAATTATGGCAACCAAATTATTATTTTTTTTTTTGGCATTCAATAAAGTCAGCAAAGCGTTATTACCTTTCATCAATCAAAAGCAGGAAAATTGCGTACATTCTGGATTTAATCAATTATCTACGTGGTTTTTTAGCTTGACGTTGACGGCATTAAATTTTAAATGTAATTTCCATGGTGGGATCTAATAAAAATTGGAAGCGATCATAAATCGCAGATGTGATAGTGTAATCAATATCAAATTAATAAAAAAAAACAGCGTTTAAATATTAAAAGAAAAGTTTCCATTGTGATTAGGATTAAAAGCAATCTTTAGATATATTTTGGTTCATCTTAGTGATAAACAAAATTATCTTAGTCTTGCAGCGTAGAGAAGACGAGATCAGCATCATTAAAGACAGTACAACTGTAGGAATAGATATACAGGGGCAAAAGATTAGTATGCTTAAATGTGCAGATGATATAGCAGTATTAGCATCTAGCAAGGAGGAGTTAGAGATAGCTTTAAATAAAATGGAAAGGGTACTGACTAAACAGTACTGTATGAAAATAAATAAAAGTAAAACAAAAATACTGGTATGCAAGGGAAGAAAAAGTAGGGAAAGATCGAATATAAAGATGGGAGACGAAAAATTACAAGAAGTGGCTAATTTTAGATATCTAGGAAGTCAAATAAGTCAAGACGAAAGGATGAGTGCAGGGTCGTGTCGCCTTTAATAAAAAGAAATCACTTCCATGCTCGCAAACGGTTAATTTTGAAATTCGAGAAAGGTTGCTAAAGGTATATGTTTGGAGCGCGGCGTTATATGGGTGCGAAATATGGACGGTGGGCGCGGCTGAAAAGAAGAGGTTGGAAGCGTTCGAAATGTGGTGTTATAGGCGAATGATGAGGATAACGTGGATAGAAAAGGTATTAGAAAAAATAGGAGAACAGAGGACTCTATGGAAGTCAATAAGAAATAGGCGAGATAGGCTGATAGAACGCCTTCTCAGGCATGAAGGTCTAGTCAGAGACATATTAGAGGCAGAAACAGGAGTTAGAAGGGATAGAGATAGACCAAGATTAGATTACTGTTTGCAAATAATTAAGGATGTGGGTTGTTCTAGTTTTAGGGAAATCCGAAGATTAGCTCAGGATAGGAAAGAGTGGAGGTAGGTGTTCAACCAGTCTTAAGACTGACAACCTTATGATGATGACGATTTGAAATTTTCATTTTGCTTTACTAGATTTTAACACTAAATATAAAAAAGAAGAAACTTTACTGCTGTTTAAAAAAAGGGGTCCAATTATTGTGTCGATAAATAGAAAAATTTGTGCTTAGAAGAATTATTTAAAAAAACGTATGCAAGACTAAGACTTAACACACACGACTGGTACAGTCTTGCTGTGCTCATCACTAGGTCCCCCATATTAGGTAAACTAACAGAGGCAGCAAACTTTCATTCCTTTACGAACTCAATTTAATAGTACGAGATCGAAATCAAAGTTTAACTAAGTTACACGAGACAGGAAATTTTAGTTCTCGCCCTAACACAAGTTGAAAATCCGATTAAAAATGTTTTAATATTCAAAACGCAAAATAAAAGCATGAATACTTTTTTAACAGCTAGCGCTTTAGAAATTGTACATGTGGCATAATTAATACAGAGGAAAAAGGGTTATGGAAATGGAGCAACTTTTCATGAGCGACAAAAATATGGAGTTTTAATCATCGACATTATTAGCTACATTAATATGTCGCGTCGTGAACATTGAAACGGGACATTTTTTCAGTATTTACCTATTATATAGCAGACGGTGTACTGTTCCATACACACTGAAACACGTCAAAATATTCGAGAGTGTTAATTAAAAATTCTACATATCGAAAGTAGGCTCGTTGATTAGTTGCACCCTCTAATAATAATAAGACATAAGAATATGCAAAGGTCTTGGTTTAACAGAACGTTTTAATATTCCGTTAATTCCAGGAAATCGTATCATTAGAAGAGATAGCTACACAAATTTTCATTATATGCACATTTTGTTTTTATGTATACGACTAGTCCAAATTTAGATAATAGCATAAGCGGTAGTGCTTAAGTGCCATTTAAAAAGAAAATATTCCCGTCATAACCTAGCCTATAATCTTAATCCGTTATTGTATCATCAGAAAGCAAGCAACCAACTATACATTCGAATGTAGACATTTAAACCCGCACACATTTTTCCAATTGTTTAATATTACATCGTCAAAATTAATGGTTTTAATTCAAGATCCTTATTAAAAGATGGCATCTGGGGTATCAAAACTAGGCCTAAGCAACATTTCTATGTCTTATTTAAATGTTCTAATCATAAGTTATTCCCAAAATGTTGTCATATCGATTATCCCGTATCCTGTATACGTAGATTATTATTGCAAGGAAAATAAGGGTTTTTAGCAGCATTTTAATTCGCAATTATATTTTAAACCGTTTGATAAAGTCGGATGAAATTTGGCAAAACCCTAGTCCTTTTAATTTTAATTCTATAAACTTTCATTCAAAAATGCTGACCTGTATTTTCATCTAAAGGTACGTTTCCTTTAAGGTTAGACAGACATGACACATAAGTGCTTTTTTTACAAAAATCGAAAGCCTACTTGACTGAAAAAAAGCAAAAGGAAAAAAGGGACTGAATATGATGGAAAAAGAAAATATGAGCACGCTTTCGAAGGTCGTATCTAGGGCACGGCGCAATGTAGGGCAAAGACGTCTTCAATTAACACTCTTATAATTCAAATGTGGAGCCTCTGCAAGGGTCGCAATGGGGATGAAACACAAGTATTTTGTCCCATATGTCGTATGTGCCCACTTCTTATAGTGCACTCAGTTAAGTACTAATTGAAGTACGAGATGAAAATTCATTCAACGTTTTTCGAGAACTACATACATAAGTCAAGAAAATTCATAGCTTGCAGAGACAATAGAAATACCCACAATTTTATGTTACAAATAACTTTATGACTTTATATCTACTAAATACCTACTGCGATCGACATCATTAAAGACAGGACAACTGTAGGGATAGATATACAGGGGCAAAAGATTAGTATGCTTAACATGGACCGCGCGGCGGAAAAGAAAAGGTTAGAAGCGTTCGAAATGTAGTGTTATAGGCGAATGATGAGGATAACATGGATAGAAAAGGTTGGAAATGAAGAGGTATTAGAAAGAATAGGAGAACAGAGAACTCAATAAGAAATAGGCGAGATAGGTTGGTAAGACACCTTCTCAGACATGAAGGTCTAGTCAGAAACATATTATAGGCTGAAAAAGGAGTTAGGAAGGGTAGAGGTAGACCTAGATTAAATTACTGTTTGCAAATAGTTAAGGATATGGGTTGTTTTAGTTTTAGAGAAATGCGATGATTAGCTCAGTATAGGAAAGAGTTGAGGTGCTTGTCCAACCAGTCTTAGGACTGATGACCTTATGATGTTGATGATGATGAATACGTACAATGCATATGGATAAGTTCACTGAATAAAAATGCCTGCACTTTACAAATTGCTTTCAGTTTCTGCACTTTGAGTTTTAGTTTTTGTTCGCTTGTGAGGTGTGATCATAGTTTGTGTGCTAAAAGCGACTATGCTGCAATTTTGTTTGAGTATTCGGAGCTTTTAACTTAGAAATTGTGTCACTACATGCTCTAGATTTCTGACTGACAATAAAACAAAACTGTTTTGAGCTTTATTCGTATATGTGCATACCTCTGGGTCTATAGATTTCAAATTTTGCTCAGAGGTTCCTTACACAACGTAGACGATCATCAAGAAGGGATTTTTTAAAATTCAACCCCTAAAAGGGTGAAAAGCGAGTTCAAAGTTTACCCAAACTGTTGAGTTAGGAAGCTTCAAATTCTGTAGAAATTTTCTTTATACAACGACATCATCCAGTATAAAATGACTTTTCAAAATACCACCCCTAAATGCCCCTATAAAATCGGGGTTTCCTATATAATATAAATAAAATATTTAATACTAGTATTAATAGAGATTCAAAGTTTTGACGAAATTCAACACCCCTTCCCTTTAGCGGTGTTCAATTCAACACCCCAAAAACAATCTTCCCTTTTGGCATTAGATGCCTCTCGAAGCACATAAATCTTTTTGCCAACCTCTTATTTTTGAAAAGTAAATTATGAACATTCAGAGTTTTTTGTGTGCAGGTTAAGAAAGGTCTACACAGCCTTCGGTATTGTACCTCATTATGAGTTATAAATAATTAAAGGAGAGCACGAGATTCTTTATTCTTTTGTTATTTCCTTTTTTGTTTGTTTCTAAACAATTCTCTTTTGTTTGCAGGTTTCGTGGGTTAGAAAAGGTGAAAATCCCGCCCTGCTTACTTACGGCCTGGCTACCTACAGCGCCGACGAGCGTTTCATGGTCGAACATGTACGACACCTTCAGAACTGGGGTCTACTAATTAAGAAAGTTCAACAGTCCGATGCCGGAGTTTACGAATGCCAAGTTTCGACCCATCCTCCAGTTAGCATATTCATTAAATTGAGAGTTACAGGTTCGTTCATGCATTCATAAAATATTCAACTGCGATATTCGACTAATTATTTAAGCAGACGGTCTCAAATTATCATGAACAAGAAGTGAAAGGTCACTTCTATGCGATTTCCAAAGGACATGTTCGTCCCTCAGTTTAACGCTAATAAATTATACACTAATTGGAAGTTGAACATCTGTCTTGTTTCTCTCTTTAATTAGTGACAATTACTCGTGATTATTGAAAGTGAGATTACGTGACACCTATCATGGTAATGATTAGCTTATTATTCCTGCGATTTCGCCTTCTGAGATAGAACTGCACAGCATTCGGTCATCATTGTCGGCCATCTTGATTCTCCCATAGTTGTCGCATGATACAGTGATGCATGTTTGATTGTTGTAGCATTGTTGCTGCTGTCGGCCATTATACTTTTCCAATGTGCGCGAAGATTTGAATTTTCATCAAGTCAGTAATGATGGAATTATTGGTCATTTTTATTTTCAGATTATTGTGGTACTGTTGCCGTAGTCGGCCATCATGATTCTCCCATTGTTATCGCATTGTTGCAGTCGTCGGCCATTGCATTTTTTAATTGTTGCTGTAGTCGGCCATCATGCATTTTTATTTGTTGCGGCATTGTTGTTACAGTCAGCCATTATACTTTTTTAAGGGGCGCGAAGATTTGAATTTTGACTAGGAATTTCAGAAAAAGGCCAATTGTATAAAATGTAAATGTAGGTAACTATTCCGATGGAAAACTAACAATATAAAACTTTTCCTTCACCCTGAGTCGTCTTTCTCTACAAAGTTTTAAACTGAACGAAGTCTGCTACATATACATATATATATATTTATACAATGTAAGCATTCTCATCTAAATTTTCGTTGTTATTGTGAAGGATTTTAGGATACCTTCTTAGCTGAACATTGCAAACGGCTCTTTTGCCTGTTTTAGAACTTTAGAAGTTCTTACTTTCTTCCTTTTAATATTTCCTGAAATGTAAATTTTAATTTAGATGACACTTTTCTCAGTAGTGTTCCTTCTAAAGCATCATTCGAGCTTTACTCCTCGAAACTTTTCTTGAAATGAAGAATTATGATCGCGAATGGATATTGTCGTAGAGCGGGGCCGTGCTACCGAGACGTTAAATAATAATAGCGGTTTCGGAATTAAATTCGGAATTTCTATATTCAAACATTCACACATTAAACTTTTTATTAAATAAAACCAAACAAAAGGTGGATTTTAAAACGAAAATACAATGAACTATAGGTATATATAGTTCAATATGAACACATTGAAAAGAAGTGAATACAAAAGGGCAGTGTTTTTGATTTTTGGGTGGTATATAAATGGGTCATCTTTGAAATAAAATTTCAAAAAATGAAACCTTTACTAGATAGAAGCTTCTTCTTAATAGTTAGGCGTCTTAAATCCCACATAAAGTAAAAGAAAGACAGTAAGTTCCCGACGAAAAAAGTTCCTTGTGATAAATCGGTAGTTTTTCTTCTCCCGGTTTCACTGGCTAGAGACAAGCGATTTTCTTATCTATCTTAGAGTTATGTCCCGGATAATGTTTAGATTTATTTCAAGTTAAGTTTACTTCTTTTAGCTCGGTTCTTTTCGAGACCGAGATTTGTTGTTTTCTCAACCGAAAGAGCAAAAAAGTCGCTTTGTTTCTTTCTTCACTTATACAACAGACGCTTGACAGTAAGACGCCAACATGGACAAATTGAGTTAGATTCCTTTTTTTTATGCGTCTGGGAATACAGCAAAATCTAAAGAAAATGCAAGAAAAACTATAGTCAAACTTAACAAAAATCGAATCATTTGTCAAAGTTTAACTTACTTTCAAATGATCTCAAAAACGTCCACCCCTCGTTATGTCACTGCCGCTCCCCATGGAGAAAGCATCATCTTAAGGTCGTCAGTCCTAAGACTGGTTGGACACGCACCTCCACTGTTTCCTATCCTGAGTTAATCTTCGCATCTTCCCAAAACTATAACATCCCACATTCTTAACTAATTGCGAAAAGTAATCAAATCTGGGTCAACCTCTACCCCTCCTAACTCCCGTTTCTGCCTCCAATATATATCTCTGACTACACCTTCATGCCTGAGAAGTTGTCCTACTAACCTATTCCACCTATTTCTTATTGACTTCCATAAAGTCGTCTGTTCTCCTATTCTTTCTAATACTTCTTCATTTCTAACCTTCTCTATCCACGGTATCCTTATCATTCGCCTGTAACACCACATTTCGAACGCTTCTAACCTTTTCTTTTCCCCCATGCTCACCGTCTATGTTTCGCACCCGTAGAACGTCACGCTCCAAACACAACTTTAACAATCTTTTTCGAATTTCTAAATTAACCGTTAGCGAGCATAGAAGTGACTGCTTTTTATTGAAGGCGACTCAACCCTGCTCTATCCTCTGCTTTATATTCTTCCTACTCCTTCCGTCCTGACTTATCTGACTTCCTAGCCACTTCTTCTAATTTTTCGTCTCCTCCTTGCTATGGAGAAATAGAAATTATTTATATAATACCAAATATTTCTTTTGTCGAGTTACTCTTGTGGAATACTTTAAAATTCTGTTAAATTTTACCTCCTTCTAACACACCCTATTATAAGACATCACGTTTGCAGAGTCTTCTGGCACCTCCCTCGCTATAAGGTCGTTTAATTTTTATTACAGAAGCCACCGCAAATATTTTGGGAACCCGTGACGTCTTCTTAAATGCAGGATCGGCTCTGCGATTGATTTGTACCCTGAAGCATTCGATCGAACCCCCGGAATACGTTTTCTGGTATCAAAACAACCACATGGTCAACTATAACCCCGGGGTGGAAGTGAAAGACACTAAAACGTCGAGCGTCCTGCTGGTGAAAGATGCCGACACGACACACAGTGGAAACTACACTTGCAGTCCTTCTAATGCTGTGCCAGCTTCTGTCAATGTGCATGTTCTAAATGCGACTGAAGGTGAGTAAATGAACAAATCAATTTCTTAATTTTAATAAGGACAGTTTCAATTCATAGTCAGTAATTTATCGAAGCTAACAGACGTGGATCGTGGTTTTAATCTTATTAGATCTCATCGGCACGCAAGCAGTCTCGATAAATCGCCGACGATTTTAAATGTTAGACAAAGGCCTTAGGTTACAACAATAAGATGACTATGTATTGCCGTAACTCGATATTGTAATTAATTTTATTGTAAGTATGTAAACTGTCAATTTTTTTATCATTTGCATCGACATTCCTGTAAAAAACTATTTTCTTTTTAACCCTGATAAGGGTTAAAGGGGCTCTTTTAGCTTATTTATTGGGTAGATAAACGCATTATTATTTCAACATAGGCAAAATGAAACCTAAGCTAATAAGTATAACTAAGAATGGATATAAGTACAGAGCCGAAAGATTAGTATGCTTAGATTAACAGATAAATAAAATATAAGCGGTATTGACAAAATATAAATAAAAGAGAAATACCAGTATGCAAGGGAAGAAAAAGAGTAAATATAAATATAGGAGACGAAACATTAGAAGAAGTGACTGATTTTCGGTATCGAGGAAGTAAGATAACTCAAGATGGAAAGAGTAATAGATATATAAGATAGAGGATAGCCCAGGGTCGAATCGCCTTCAATAAAAAGAAGTCACTTCTATGGGAAAGGGAAGAGGTAGGCTTAAATTAGATTACTGTTCGCAAATGGTTAAGGATGTGGGTTGTTCTAGTTTTAGGGAAATGCGAAGATTAGCTTAGGATAGGAAAGAATGGAGGTGCGTGTCCAACCAGTCTTAGAACTGACGACCTTATAATGATGAAGTATTTTCATTTTTAAATGTATATATAGGTAAAAGACACTTAAGTTTAACTACTAATTATTATCAAATCAATTATTTAATTCTATTTATTGTTGTGTATTAAAGTAGCTTTTGAAACATTAGTTTGATATGCTTCACTTTATCCTTTTTTATGAAACAGGGAACTTTATTGCGTATTATCGAAATCAGTCAAATGCACGCCGTTATTTTTTTACACAAATTAAAAAATACAGGAGGTCTTTGATGTAACACGATCATTCAAAGTTCTAAAAACAATTTGTTCGTATTACACTTGCCACATTTCCAAAATCGTTTCTCTCAATTTCCCGATTTATCGGTTATCCGATTTTTAGATTGACGTTTAATTTTTTCTTCCTTTTTTTATTGTCGGGAAATTCCCGGATTACTACTTCATTCAATAACATACAGAAATGTTTTTGTTTCAATGTTGGCATTAGAACTGCTTGAAAAACAAACGTGTGTGATACCAAATATGAGTAAAAATGAGAATTACATTCCTACGCTCATTAGTTTTTATTTCAACTCGCTATTAAAAATTATAAGATTCTATGATGCACTGGCGTATGTACGTTTTGAATATTTATTCACAATTAGTATTTAGGTGATTTTTATGCCTTTATCTTAATTACAGCAAAGGCAAAATGTAGCAGTCGTGTGCAGATAGTTAGACGATAGTTAAAAAGCTTAAGTTTTTTTTCGACTTTGTTTTCCATAAAATATTCAACTTCTTTCTTCCGTAAAGTGAAGTTCTATTTTAATAAATGCCAGGAGCCCTTTTAACCGTGTGCAACGTTGCTATAACATTGTTTTCCTCGCTTGTTGTATTCGTTCCTTTTTTTCTGTTGAAACTCCTGTCGTGCGGTCAGTTTTTCTGTTGGTAGAATAGCGATTCGCAAAGGCAACATTTTTGCCAATTTATAGTGGGATAGCATTTCAGCTGTGAAATTTTAATTTCAGAGGAAAATCCGGCTGCTATGCTACACGCAGGTTCAACTCCCGTTTGGATTCATCTCCCGCTTGCGCCTCCTTTCTGTTTGATTTTAATTACTGAAGCTCTACGGAGATGAAGGTTTTAAAGTTTAAACTTACGTTGTTCATGTAAATAAACTCGTGTACATATTACCACTTTAACTTTTGAAATAGTTTAATGAGAATTCTCATCAAATGAATGTAACAAAAACATACAAACGTATATATGCAATGAATGTTTAATCAAACAGTAAAGTAACTGAAACATTTATTATCCTTTTTTTTTATCCTGTTCAGTTCAAATAGACTCCTGTTAGTCTGTAACATTCGCGACTCCCTCCTGTTTGAACCTGTTTCTAGATTAATTATAAACCATCTGGTCCCTTAAAGCAGGACTAGTAGTCCTAGAATTATATATTCAAGGATTATTCTGTAATCCTTTTCTATCAAAATTGCACTAAAATTTTGTAAACTTCAGCTGGTGTTATTTACGAAACATATAAAGATTGTTGGTTTTGATCTCGATCACACGGTACATCTTCAAAAATCTAGTCTCCAGTTTTTCTATATCTATAAGAGTGTTACTCGAGATCGAAAGTCTTGAAAATGTATTTTGCATTCGCTGTGGAACCCATAATCATGATATTTATCACAAATAGCATTATTTGCAATAATTCAAGAACCAGTACAAAGTTTTTTAAAAATTTTATAGATATATTATTATGGATGAGAAATAATTTTATGATTCTATAGATCAAACCAAGGTAGAAAAACTGTTTCCCAATAAATGTTACAGTATCACTGGTTATCTTTGTGTGAACAATCTTTTCGAATAACTAAACATAAAATGCTTTTGAAATCTTCAAAGGATACATTAAAATTTTACGTTTTTTATGCTCAAAAATGATATCTTAAAAAAATGGTAGGTTTTCTGTCCCTTCCATTGTCCTCCTTCTTCGTCCTCGAAAAATGGTTTCTACTGCATTGTGTTTGTTCTACAAACATGTGTTAAGAACATGTTTGTAGACTATTATATAACATCATAGATATAATCAACTAACTTTACATAATTTCTCTGTGTAGATTCTATATAAAATTTTACCGTTACAAATTGATTCTTCGTTAAATATAAAATGTTCACTGAATTTTTAATAATATTCATTTCTACATCGAGAATGGTGGATCCTTTCCACTCTTGGGATTCAAATTCTTTTTTTTTTTTTATTAGAAGTTAAAAGCAAAGAAACGAGGCATAATACTAATAAACGCAAAAGTCGCTCGATAAAGTGAAATATACTGTAACAGGTAAATTAAAACTTTAAAAGCTCCTAAGTAACTTCCAAATTTACCAATATTTTGAGATGGAAACTTGAGATAATCCATCATTCTTAAAGTATAGAAGAAAAATGCGAACGACAAAAATTAGAATTGAAGCAAAAAATTATCTCTTTTTCATATTTCTCAAATGTTTACAATTCTTGAACAAGCATTTAACAATTATAATAATAATTAACGTTAAAAACGTACAATTTTCTTACAGAGAGATAGATAAAGAGAGAAGAGTGGTTTAAATAAAGGACCAAGTCTTAATAGTTGTGAACAGTTTTTGCATTTTATTTTGATACTTCAATTTCTGGCTTATCACTGCGATCGCTGATCGCTCCTAAACTACTAATCCTACAGCAGTGTTGACAGGATTATGCGATTCAGTATAATCTACAAAATTGTTTGTACGTGTTGATTTAATCGCTCGCTAGAAAAGTGATAAATGATATTTTTTGTGAAGTTTCTTGCTACAGTGGTGTTTGTATAAAATGACTACCTCCAAGCAGCCTCTTTGTTACACCAATATAGAGCAATATAAAATAAAGGTAGGTAGAAAAGTGTATATGCATGTACTTCTGTTTTTATTTTATCAACTTACTTAACCGACTTCAAAGAAGGACGAGGTTCTCAATTCGACTGTATGTTTTTTCCTTTTATGTATGTTACGCGATTACTCCGTCAATTATGATTGATTTTGACAATTCTTTTTTNGACCAATCAGAATAAGTTACGATGAACTTTAACTTCGGTCGAAATAGTTTTAACTGACTCGCTTCGGAAAAACGTGTTTTGTCTAGTAAAAACTAGTTTTAACTGATATTTAAATTTGAACATTAGTTAATACTAGTTTTAACAAAAGCATTTACCAAAAACTAGTTCTAACTGGGGAAAACGCGTTCTTTTTAGATAGAACTGGTTTTAACTGTTACATATGCAAACAATTATTTGCTTTTAGTTCACAATCCACGCTTAAAGTTTCATGCAAAAAATAATTAAAAACTTAATTTCAAAACATTTATCCATAATGATTAGAATTCTGCACTCGCTTTTCGTAAACTATTAACTATGACACTTTTAACCTAAGCTACTTTGAATGAGCATGACTTGTAACGACTCGTTAGAAAGCTTTTCAAGTAGGGTCTCCTTTTTGTTAGACATCACCGTGCCGATGACGGTTGGTTCAATCAAAAGACTTCCTTTTGCAGGCTTTCCGGTGTAAAACTGCTGACTTTTCTGAAAGTCTAATAATTTCCCTTATTTTTCCAAAGAGGAAATTTCTTTTCATCCTCGCAATTTAACAAAAAAAAAGATAAATAATGTTTTCTTACTCGTTTTTAACGCCAATGAAAAACATTTCTTAATCTTTTTAACATCATTGAATCCCTTATTTGAGTGTAAACAAACAATTTCCGGCTACAATTTTTTACGAACCAACGCCCTATCTGATATGAGAATAAATAAATCGTTTTTGTCAAAGAACTGGGCATGATATTTCAACTTATGGTACCATGTTGATATAATAGGGGGTGGGGTTTCGTTTCTAAGCGGGGGGTAAATACAGAAGCCCTGATACTGCTTTCTAACTTACGTTATCCAGAATTTTCTAATTAATTCGGAAAAAGTTTTAAATAAAAGTCGTACGCTTCTAAAGGGAATCAATGACCTTAACGTTAACTTTAGAGGTCATTTTTTTAATGAAAATACATATTTCTAAACTCAGAAATGGAAAAAGCAGGAAATTTGATAATCGGAAATACCTTTGAAGTAGATTTGCTATTAATTTTTCACTGTAACCCTCAATACCTACCCCCTAATTAGAAATTTTTATTATCCAAACATGTTACCGAAAATTGTGTTATACTTCCAATGAGTGTTTAGAAAAAGGAGGTCGACACGGCACTACAAACATTTTCCTAGCATATGTATGCATATATATCCAGTCATTTATTTAGCCCTAGACGTAAGGTTATTTTGGAATACAGTCAAAATCAATACGCCTTTGAAAGGCTAATCCTATTGCAGTAGATACTCAGGACTAACACTGGAAGTGGTTTTAGCGAAGAAGCAGATTTATTTCGAACAGAAAAGAAATCGTTTCTCTTTTCATAACCTGACAATAACTCTAAGAAACCTGCACATTTTAATCTTTTTTATATTAAACTTAATTTTATAAATTTAACAGCTAATATCCTTTAAACTTTAATATCAATTAACCGACTTATTTGATATAGTTCCTTCTAAAATCTAAATACAAAATACTAGGCATTTCTAATTTTTCGTTCTAAATACCTTTTTTAATTAATTAAAATTAGGATAGGTTGGGTTGTAGTACATAGGAGTAAGTTTTTCATGGTTAGGCCACTAGTTCATCATTATCAGGGGCGGTTAAAGCGCTTTTAGGGCTTCAGCCCAAGGCCCCGTGGATATTAAAAGTCCTAAGCCTCCGTCAAATACAACAGACGATATTGCTTATCGCCCTATGCAATTTTTTTTTCGCATTTCTAGTTTCGTCGTCAAAGTGAAAAGAAGAATTATTTGTTGCTGGACTCAAGGAACTATAACATAAAGATAAAAAAAACATATCTGAAACACTTTAAACAGAAAATGTGAATCATACTCAATCTTCGCAGCTGGTAAGATTATATTAAAGTTCAGCAACAAATAAATTTTCTATATGCTTCCTTATTTGCCTTTGTCACCCGTTTTAATTGGAAAAACGACACTGATACCAAAATAGTTTGTTTACCGTGAAAGATATCAGAGCCAAAATAGGGTTGCAAATAATTTTGTTGATGTAAAATCAATATCAATCATTTTATATCAAAATATTTACAACCCCATTTTTTTACGATCTTTTACACGTTGTAATAAGAGAAAGAAACGAAATCCATGGTTTATTTTGCTTTGTGTTCATCTAATAAGTGAAGCTTTTCGAATCGTTTTCTATGAATTTTGGATTATACGCATTTATTAGCACACCACAATATCTTGTAGTTTTCAGTTTTACACAGCTGGCGTTTATCAATTCGATGTTGTTTTGCGGGCTGTTTTGTCGTAATTCATAGAATTTCGTAATTTCTTGCTAAAGGTACGATAAGTGGTAATTTGGCAGATACTGATATCCTATTTTGAACTTCAAAATTCCATGGACCATGACATTGAACCCTTGATTTTAGATATCTAGGAAGTCAGATAAGTCAGGACGGAAGGAGTAGTAGGGATATAAAGCAATCAAAAATGCATTTACGTGCAAGATAAAAATTATAGACAACATTTTTTTGACAAAATGGCAGTTAGTTGAATGTTTAGGTAGGCTCCTAAGTAGTATTAGTCCAGGGACCCACCAATTCACGATCCGCCCCTGTATTTCGTACCAAAAATTTATCTTATCTTTGCGGTCTATTTTATATGTATTAGTCAGCTGATTATAAATAATCCAAAAATATTAATATTCCAAGAGACTTCTCTGCAATTTCGGCAGCAAAATCGTCGAGTAAAATGGACTCTAGAATCAGTACAATCGTTTGTTACCTTTTGTGTCATGTTCTTCGTTATAATTTGACGTTGATAAGCCTCATAATCTCGTCTCTTGCCTACTTCTGTCATTAATAATACAAAAGCTTTTCGTACTAATGTCAGTTGTCATGGTCAATTTGCAAAAATCCCTCGTGCATTAGGGTGCCCGGAAAGCAGTTAGGAATGTGGGGAGACAGAATATGACACATATTAAGACAGGGGTGCCGAAATGTGTTAAAGGAAGTCGCAGATTATAATGCAATAAATAGCACTCTTCGCTTATTATAAACGAAATGTTTAATCCAAATCCAACAGTATTCGAAATGGAAAAAAGGGAAAAAAATCTCCTTTACTGTGGGACATTTTTCAAATTGTACTTACCTAACTTTATATTCATAACTAGGGAAAGAATTTAGAATTTTATTTA